CGGAAGCGGCTTTAGATTCTCAGTGCTGTGCTTTAACCCGCTGCGCCACCAGGGAGGGCCCGAAATAATAAGCATTTTAATAATTATGGGGTATTTTCTCTCAATATTAGAAATCACCTTTGTCTACGCCATAATTACTTTTCCCTCCGTATCTATCAAGAAAACGGCAACTAGTATAAATGCCATAAGATCTATATCTATAGGTCTCCTTAAGAACAACAAAAATGCAAATATGCAACAGTAATAATTTCACCTTAGAACTATTTGAATTATTTTTGATAAACTGATTTTCCGAAGGAAGCTACCAACAAATCCTTCATTTATCCTTTTCCTACTAATGCTCTATTTTTCTCTCACATTTCCCTCACTTTCGACTACCCTTCACTACTGCCCTTCTCTTCACCTCTCTCCCCTCTTTTTATGCCCTTGCTGTGCCACAGAACAATACCACAAAAACTCCAGGGCACTCCTAAAGCCAACTGGTCTTGTAACTCCGAAGTATAAGAATCCAATTCTAGAAATCTGATAACAGCTTATTATGTATACTTTCACCCTGCTTGAAATTCAGAGACAAAATTATACAAAAGTTCAGTCCTGAGGAGACAACAATAGTATCTGAAAGTAGAAGTGACAGAAGGTAACATGAAATAAAGGTGTTATATAAACATGCAGTCAAGCAGTTGGTATTTTGGATTTGTTCTAGAATCATAAGGCAATAAAAAATTTCTGAGTATTTACAATTTTATCAAATTTCTGCAGGACAAAAGTTTATGTTTCCAATTTGTTGTTAAAAAATTTCCTGTCCTGCCACAAGTAGATTAATCCAGCAGACTGAGTTTACAACTACATCACTGGAAAGAGGGAAAAGAGAATCCCAGTACTTCTGAGATCAAAGTCACATTCCATTGTCTTTTTTAAGTTCTGCAAAAGTGATCATAAACAGCAGAATAAACATTTGTTCTCTTACAAGCTGTAATCTGTTCTACCATATGCTGAATCCAGAAATTACTAAATATAGAAATTGAGAACAAAAGCATACTTACCAAGAAAACAATTCACCTGTTGCAGGCAGTAAACAATGAAAAATAAGAAATTATCCATTTTAGATGGTCACTATAGAACCTGTTTCTTAAGTTTTGGTTTGGGTTGTCATTAAGTTTTCAAACTTTCAAGTTTCAGTACATGCCACACATCCCTCCCCCTACACACAGAGAAAATGAACCTCAGTTCTTCAAATCCTTCACGTTTTCCTTCATTCCAAGTCCCTACGTGTAAGCTTTCTGCCTGCAACACTTTTCTCTCTTTAGGATAACTCCAAGTCATATCCTTAACACTCCAGATTACAGAAAACACTGGGCTCTCACACATTTACACCCCTTATTAACTCTCACCCACACTTTCCTCAAATCACTTTTCCTTTTTTTTTTTGCTTCCCACTGGATTGAGCTGCATGCAAGGGTGCATTTGCAGTTAGTTCCTAGACGGGCGAGTCAAGTCATAGCAAACCAGGTCTAGGAGTTTGCCGACAAAAGAACTCTACTTCCTCCAGTTGTTATTCCCAACACACGCCCCATTACAACTCCACTCCTCTTTGAAAGCTGGTTCTTTCACATGTACGCTGATTTTTACCTGCGCCCCAATCGACAGTACTGCACCTGTCTTCCAGGCTAGTCTCAGTAAAATGTCGAAAGGATCAGCCTATTCATTATATGCGCCACTTCTCCCCAACCCCCGTAGATTTCACAATTACACCTCCCCCCCTCATTGTCTCCACCCCCAAGCTTCTTTTTTTCTAGAGTGTTAAGGCTTCCGTTTCTGCTCAAGTCCATCCAGTTTACCCGAGCACCAATAGCAACCAATAGTTGGGGTACGACAGATCCTCACGTGTGGGAATGAGGAGAGAAGGCGGGGAAAGTCGACTCATACTTTCATCACAAGGTCCTGGTCAGTCGTTTCAAGACCTAAGTAACTGTGGTCACTTTTCTGTGGTTTTAGTCCCTTCTACTTGTGACATTTGTGTGTGCCCTTTTAAAAGGGTCAAACCAAACCAAAAAAAAAAAAAAAAAAGGCCCCACTAATAGGTCGGTCGTTTGGGGTTGAAAACTTGTCT